GATACTGCCTCGGAAACCCAAGGAGGGGTCGCTATGAGTCGGGGCCGACTCGACGGCACATAACAACAACAACAACATTATAACACAGGTCCCTGGGTGGTACTAATGGTTTGCAACTCAACTACTAACCCAAAGGCTGGCAGTTCAAACTCGCCCAGCAGTACTGCATAAAAAAGGCTTATTGACTGCTTCTGTAGAGATTGTACAGCCAAGAAAACCCTGTGGAGCAGTTCTACACATGGGGTCACCATTGTCAGAATCAATTCAATGACAGTGGGCTTTGTTTTTATTTTTATTTATTTTTTTGTTTCTGGTTACATGGGCCCACCCAGGGTAATCTCCTCATTGCAAGATCTGAGCTGACTCACACTTGCAAAGTACCTATATTCACAGGCACCAACATTAGGATGTGGACATTTGGGGGGCCATTATTCTGCCCCGTATAGGTATTATCACCCTTTTTAATTTTTGACATTCTAAGTGAAAAGATAGTCTCCTGCTTTTGTAAATAATATTTCCTTGATGACTGGTTAGGTCCAGTGTCTTTTTCTATGTGTAGAGGCAGGTAAATGTCTGCTTCTGTGACTTGTCTGTTGATGTCCTTTGTCCTTTTCCACTGGGTGGCGTTTGCTTCTCTCCTTCCCACTCAATTGAATTCTAAGTGATTGGACATTCCTCAAGGGCAGGAACTTTCTCATAGTCACCTTTGTGTCCCTGGTGCCTCATATATGGCCAGACTCATACAAGGAATTCAGTAACTATTGGCCCTTCATTCCTCTTGAATGTCATCCTTCCCTACCCTATTCTTCTGCTATTCTGTTTTGGAAGAAAAATCTGGAAGCTTCTAGCTGTAACTTCCTGCAGAACTGCCTGAGTTGAGTCTGTGGTAGTAGGGTGTGGTGAGCCGAAACAAGGAGTGTCTTGTAATTGACTTACAGCCCTGTGGACTTTCATGTGTTTATGGGCTGTAGGGTCAAGCAGACCAAGTGTCAGGCCTTCAGCTTGGCCCCTTATCCCGGACAGTCACCCATCCCTCTGAGCCTCCACTTTCTCATCCGCAAAGACAGTGATGATACCATAACTGACATTTTAAGGTTGGTGTAAAAGTAATAGGAATGAAAATATCGACTCCTACTTTTGATAAGAATCTGGTTACTGAGCTCCTGTACCTCATGGTGTTGATCCAGGCAGTGGGCAGAGCTTCAAGAAAGAGGCAGCTACTGAGCTGTGAGGGGGAGACACAGAGAAGAGTAATTTGGGGCCATTTTGCAGGATGGCAGGTTGTGTGATCTCCTTTGCCTTTTTTTTGAAAAATTACAGAAAAGATTTAAATTACTTATGAGTTATTTGGGGGTGTCAGACTTTTCCTCTTCTGAAGAAGTCCCTAGAAACACAGGGCCTAGTATTTGGAGGTGACTGGTACATGCCAAGACACATAGATGCTGCCAAGTTGTCCCCTTCCCTATCATCCTTCAGATGGGGCTGGGGGAAGAGTGGTGTTCAGTGGGACTGACAGTGCCAGGAGCTTCCTGGATGGCAAGCTTTGCCTGCTAAGCAGCCCTCAGTTCTCACGGCCCACACTCTAACAGGTGCCAGACTGGGAGTTGGTGTTGGCGCTGGGTGTGCAATAGGGTCATGCAGAGGTTGCTGTGGCTGCCCTGAACCAAACAACATCCTCTCTGGCCCTGCAGTGTTGGCTAGGGGACACCCAGACCTAGACCAGTGACACCAGCCACTTCTCAATGATAGCCCCCTATTCCCTGAGGCTCCTGGCCAGAGCCTCTCTGCTGACCCTTGGGCCTACATACTTGCTGTGGAACCCAGTCATTGCAATCCATACACTTTACCATGGCTGCCTCAGCTCACAGAGCAGATGGGGTCCAGCTCTGGCTGGTTAGGCACAGGCCTGCCCACGCAGGCCTTTCTGGCAGGGATTCAAACCCGTTCTGCCTGGTTTAGCTATGGCTGACAAAGTGAAACCAAATGGGCCTGAATTTGTAAAATGTAGGTGAACCAGAACAATAGCTGGAATGGGAAAAATTATGGGTCAATACCCTGCTAGAAATTTAATCTCCCTTTAGGGAGAAACAAGGGCAACATGCACATTGCATAGCAACCCAATCTCTTCATTGGTAGAGTGGGAAACAACAGTGTCCAGCTCAAAGACAGTGGCCAGCCACGCTGCTTTGAATGTATATTGCTCTCCACAGTCCTGGCAATCATCCGGTCTCCCGTATCACACCTGAAAGGGCTCACGACCTCCCCCATTCCAGCACTTCGACCTGTAATTTTTCCCATTCAGGCTGTTGTTCCAGATCGCCCACATTTTAACAATTTGACTCTCTTCTGGTTTCACTACATTAGCCATTACTGAACAGGTTCAAACCAGTTGGAACCCTGCTTTCTGAGTCAAGCTCCACATGCACTTGCAGAATGGCATATGCTACCTTCCTCCCCCAGACTTTTACTGGAGGTGTGCTGGACCTCCACCCTCATCCCACTGCAACAGACACCAAGCACTTGCCTCAGAAGAGGCTTTCTCACCTGCTCAGCTCTGACTGCCCACATTCAGAGCCCTAAACCCACTCTGCTCAAGGCCTGGTGGTGGGAAGAGTCCATTCTACCATGAACTAGCCCCTATTCCTAGGGGAATCACTTGGCCTCTTTGAGACTGCTTCCAGGTTGGCAGTATGGGGAAGGTAATCTCTATCACTAGGTCCCTGAGTGACATAAGTGGTTTGCTTTCATCTATTAAAGCTTAGCAGTTTGAGCGCCCCATTGGCAACATGGATGAAAGCCTTGGTGATTTACTTCCATAAATTATAGCCAAGAAAAATCCATGGGGCAGTTCAGCTGTGTAACACACTGGGTCACCATGAGTTGGAACTGACTAGACAGCAGTGTGTTTGTTATTTTGTTATTGTTTTTTAATTCCTTCCTGCTGCCTGCTGGGAGGAGACACTGTGATCTCAAGCACCATGTAGGGGTTCAATTAATGGTGGTTCTTGTCATCCCACCTCCTGTTCCCCTACCCTTGTCTCTCTGTCTTAAAGCTGCTGGTCCCTAGGCCTACTAGCATGATGCAGGGCCACTCCAGCACCACCCTCCTCTCTGGCCTCAGGGATGGAGAGATTCCCTCTTCTCTCCCTTCCGTCCATTTCTCCAGCCAGCTGGGCAGAGCTGGCAGCCATAGGAGAAGGTACTGGACTCGAGTGGGCTGAATTCCAGCCTGCCTTGCCCTTTTGAAGCTGGCAGCTGCCCTTGCTTCATGGCTAGTGTCCTGGAACAGGCTCCAAGGAGGACTGCCCATGATGGGCTGCAGCCACCAAGGGTGGGATGCTGGGCTGGACAGCCTCAGCAGACTCTAACTTCCCCTTTCAGCCAGCAGACGCCTGTTGGGCACGGACTCTAGCCCTTCCTGTGCAGTCATACTGGGTCTTTTGATTAAATCTGTCTGCTCCACATTGAAGACAAGCTCTTGAGTCTTGGGTGTGTGTGTACTGGGGGTGGGGGATGGAGACTGCACACAGACAAAATTGTCTGAATTGGGGGTGAGTTTGAAAGAGAGGAAGCCAAGCCTTGCTCTGGGTGGGGGTGAGATGTGCTTGCACTGAACAGGCCTTTGAGGCTGGTACCTGTGCAGGGCTCAGCAGTGAGGAAAATCTGGAGAACTTCCCAGAGCCTCCTGAGCCTATAGTCAAGATGGGGAGATAAAGTGGGGCTCTGCCAGGGTATGTGGGCTTGTGGATCTGCAATTCATGTGCAGCTCACAGACCTTAGAGTCCACCCCTTGGAATGGAAGCCAGGGAGAGACGCACTGGCCAAGGTACCTCCTTCTCTCTCCCAGGAGTGTATCATTGACGAGGACTGTGGGCCGGGCAAGTACTGCCAGTTTGCCAGCTTTGAGTACACCTGCCAGCCATGCCGGGACCAGCAGACAGTGAGTGTGCTGAGGCCCACCCAGTAAAGGAGGTCTGGGGGGAGTGCAAGGGGCCCAAAGAGTCCTCAGCCAGACTTCTTGGAAACCTTCTTTGGGTTTCACCAGGTCCACACTTGGAAGAGCCTCTCAGTGATGGGAGGGAGCTTGGTCAGGAAAGGTCCCCAGTGAGACTGGCTCCTGGAGTGCTGAGGAGGTTACCCCAGAGTTTGGGACCCCAGGGAGCCATCTGTAGGCCTGCTACCACCTCATCCCACCCCACGATTGCTGGTCACATTGACTACTCCAGCAGTGCAGACAGGGGAAGGGAGGGGAGGAGAAAGAAAAGCCAGAGGGGAAGGCAGGGAAGAGCAAGAGGCCATGCACTGTCCCTTCCCCTCCTGAAGACTCTCCTAGGAGACCGAGCCAGAGATACCTGGGCAGCCAGGGTGGGGAAAAGCATGGCCCCTGTCCAGCTTCTGGCTCCTCCAGCCCCTCCAGGCCACCCAGCACCTGGGGCTTTTCTAAAGAAAGGCTTGAGTCTTGTGGCCAAGCTCCATTCTGCCCCTGTGATGTCCACTACAAGCCCCGCCGACAGCTGGGGTACTTCACCTAGGATCTCGTTTTCCTCCCACACTGGGAGGATGTGGGCTCGATCCCCTGACAGAGAGCCTTGGGCTCTCAGCCAGGCTCCCAGGCCCTGCTTCTCCTGTCTCTTTGCAGCTCTGCACCCGGGACAGCGAGTGCTGTGGAGACCAGCTGTGTGTCTGGGGTCGCTGCTCCAAAACGGCCACCAGAGGCGGCAACGGGACCATCTGCGACAACCAGAGGGACTGCCAGCCGGGGCTGTGCTGTGCCTTCCAGAGAGGTGGGTGGGCTCCCTTCAGGTCCAAAGGAAGCCTTTTCCCATGCTCCACCACTCCTCAACCCTGTCAACCATATACCTTTGCAGGGTCCTGCCTCCTGAATGGTCTCCCAAAGGCTACTGAAGAATGTGTCCCAGCCCCATGAGCTCTGCCTGAGTGCAGGCCCTCTCCTGGGGTTGGGGGGAGGCTCTTCTCCCTGTTTTTTGCCTTGTTGATGCCTAACCTGTTGCTACTGAGTTTATTCCTACTCATAACGATCCATGGTGTTGATGCCTAGAAGAGTTAAAATTCCTACAGGATGCATGAGCCCAGGGCAGGAAGAGCACCTCTAGGTGGGTGGTGGGATGCTCTTGGGATTAGAGCAGCCCCTCTCCCAGCCCATCCTGTTCCGCAGACTAGGAGCATCGCACTTGGTCCTGTTCTTTTGTCCTGTGACTCACTTCCTTCCACTCCCACCTTCCATTCTCATTCTCACAGCCTTTACGAGGTGAGGTCTGGTCAGGCTCTCTCCTCCTCCCACCTGTGTTTCTGACTGCTTTTCCTTTGCCGCCCCCCAGCTCCTGCCTCCCCAGCCCTGCTAGTCCACCAGTCCCTGCTGATTCAGTAGTTTGCCTACAGGATGACTTGGAAGTTTCTGCTCCTCTGCAGGAGATCCTGCTGTCTTCCCCATTAGTCAGTCTGTCTTGTTTACAGGCCCCTCACGAACCCTAACTGACCTGTCCTCCTTTGCTCTCGTTCTACTTCTTTGCCCATTGGAACTTCTCCCAGTGAACTAGATGCCCCAGGTGTTTGTGGATGCAGGCCCCAGGCCTTAAATGCCTGCACTCTGCTCTTTCCTTTCTCTTGTTTGGTCTTACAATGCTGTCCAAGCCTCACCTCTTCCAGGCCACCCTCTCTAACTGCTCTGGCAGCCTGGATTATTCTCTCCTGAGCTTATGTTGCTTCCTTATGCCCCACCTGATGGAATCCAGATCTGAGGGATGGAGGTGGGGGCTGCGCCCCATTGTGCTTCTCCCTGCCCTTGGTGCCTGCTTGCCTGGTGCTGGGCATGCAGAGTTACGTTTGCTGGTTCTAGGCCTGTTGTTTCCTGTGTGCACACCCCTTCCTGTGGAGGGCGAGCTCTGCCATGACCCTGCCAGCCGGCTTCTGGATCTCATTACCTGGGAGCTAGAGCCTGATGGGGCATTGGACCGATGCCCATGTGCCAGTGGCCTCCTCTGCCAACCCCACAGGTGAGGTCCCACCTACCCTACCCTCCCTGTCAGGTGCCAAGAGTGGTTGAGGTGCTATCCAGAGGAATGGGAGATCAGGAACTGAAGCAGAATTTGCCTGGGAAGTATGTGAATGCAGTTTAGCACAGGTTTAACCTGAGGTGTCTCTGGGTCACCAGGTGAAGAGGCACTCAGCATGGCACTCAGCAGTCAGATACATAGGTCTGGAGCTCAGAAGAAGGTCTTGGGCAGGAAGTACAGATTTGAGACTCATCTAGATGGTGGCTAAAGTCTTGAGTGGATGAGTGATGGCCCATGGAGAAGGTATAAAGGGAGAAGAACCAAGCCCTATTAGGGACAAGGGCTAAGGAAGTTGAGGGTCCAGGCCCATCAACTTTGAAGGAAAAAGCAGAGGAAGGAGCTGGCAAAGGAGACTGAGAGGTGAAGTCAGAGAGGTAGGAGGAAAACCAGGAGAGAGGTCCACAAAGGTGGAAGGCAACACCAACAGTCTCAAAGGCTGCCAAGAGACTGAAGCATCAGGGCTGACACATGTCTGCTTTTCCAGTACAGATCCTATTGGGCCTCCTGGCAGCCTGCACTCAACCTGCCCTGAAGGCAGAACCTAGCGGGCTGGGAAGACAACAGAACTTCCCCTTGCAGTCCCTGCAGAGGCCTGGGGCTCCCAGCATGGACAGTTAGGTGGTAGTTAGGCTATGCCCTACTGTCAAGGAGTGTCTCCTACCCAGAGGTCCGGATGGGCAAAGGGCTGAGAAGGGCATAGTTTGCTATAAACTGTAAGACCCAGGGGTTTGCAGGGCCTGCCCCTGTGATGCTAAACCTGTCTGGAGAGAGTCCGTCATAGAAAGCCAAGCCTACAGTTACATGTGGGGAGGAGCTGCCCTGAGTACCTTCTCCAAAAGTGACCCTTCTTCAGCTGTCGGGTTTTTTTTTTTTTTTTTAAGGTAAGGTATTGCCATGAAGTTAAGACTCTGTTGAAGAGATGTTAGGGGAGGCAATGTGAAAACAACACCATGAGACCCACAGAGACAGTGAACAAAGGGCAGTGCCTCTGTTTTAGGCTTGGGCCTCATGCCCAGGCTTCTCCAAGTTTAGAGCCAGGCTTTGTTCCCCTGTGAAGACATGACCCTCAGATGAACCACAGCTCTGTCTCTTCCCAGCCACAGCCTAGTGTATGTGTGTAATCCAGCCTTTGGTGAGAGCCACAATGAAGATGGAGACAGCCTGCTGCCCAGAGAGGCCTTGGATGAGTATGAAGATGGTGGCTTCATTGAGGAAGTGCGCAAGGAGCTGGAGAACCTGGAGAGGAGCCTGTCTGAGGAAATGGCACCCAAGGGGCCTGATGTAGCCTCTGAGCTGTTGGGTGGAGAAGAGATTTAGATTCAGACCCGTTCTGTGGGTAGATGTGCAATAGAAATAGCTAATTTATTTTCCCAGGTGTGTGTCCTCTAGGTGTGGACTGACCAGGCTTCTTCCCATTTCCTATTCCCAGTATATTTTCCCTCTGGCTTGAAACATCTGCCTTGTTAAAATGAGGTGCTGTGCATTTTTCCACCCCTGCCCCGAGTACACCATCTTCACCATTCTGATGCTTAGGGAGGATGAGTGTTCTGGGGTGAGGGCAAAACGGGACTTCAAGATAAGGTCCAAATCATTGGCCACTTTGCCTGCAGTGGTTGGCAGATGCACATTTTCATCTCTATCATTTTGAAAATTGTTTGAGGCAAGGGGATGAAGAAGGATGTAGAGTCTCCCCATGATGGCTTTTGTGGAAATGTTGACTTGTACTTGTGGAGAAGAGTGCCCTGCTTTGCAAACATAAACCTGGTGAAAATGCAACAAATCACATTTTTGTGTAGCTCTTTTCATGGACACATTGCCAGGCTGTGTCCTCAGCACTTGCAGATGAAATGTGCTGCTCAATCTGGGTTCCATTCATTCATTCCGCAGTTTCACTGGCTCCTACCTCATGGCACTCAGCGTTTTCCTATCAGGCATCAGTTGACACTCTCATCACAGTCTGGGGAGGGAGGCATTGTCCTCCCCATTGGTCAGGGATCTCAGATGCTCAGAGGCATTGTTTCTTGCCTGCAACACAAAGGTAGTGAAGACCAGGACAAGATTTCACCTGGGTGAAACTCCAAGACCAGTGAGTGTGCTTTCCCCTGCTGCACATCAACCTCTGTGCCACCAAAAACTCCCCCAAAAAGGAGAAGGGGGTTTTTCTTTTTTGGAGGCATATCTGGGATGAAGGTCAAACTAGTTCACTCGTCCCTGTAAGATTAAACTTGTACTGTTGGAAATAGCAGCTCTTGCCAGTGTGGAGACAGCCATCATTCTACTGAAAACAGATGGTATTGACCCTGTCCCCTGTGGTAGTATCATTAGTAATTTTGAAGGTACATGATTGGAGCATAATGCAAAACTTGCCAGGAACAGTACCTGGACAATTAGAGGGCCAGGATTATTAATGAAATTTGCAAAATCACTTAGCAGCAACTGAAGACCGTTAACAACCACATGGAGAAAATACAACCAAGCAAGGCTCTATGAAATATGGTTGTAATATCCAAACTGAGAACTGTTCCACAAATAATATTTTCAGGTGCCATGGACTGTTTCCATCATGTATTCATGCAGTTATTAAATTTTAAAGTTGCACACTATTGTATAAGCATGCCTTCTTTGAGTTTTAAATTATGTATAAACACGTATGTTGCATTTAGAAATCAAGGATAAATCACTTCAACTACTCTTCTGTAGTTCTTGGACTTCTTTCTTTCTTTTTTTTTTCGACTTTGAATAAACATAAAACCTGTTAGACCGGGAAAAATAAAATGATATTGTAGAAAATTAAAAAAAAACTTTTCCAAATAAATTTTCCAAACAACTGTAGAAGAGCTCTTTCAGCATCAAAATATTCAAAAAATGTTAACCATTTTGGATGGGAATTGAGTTTTAAATGTGCAAATGCTTCATTGATCTTCTGAAAGAGTAAATGTAAAAATACAACCCTTTTCTTGGGAGCCTTCAATCAAGTACAGTTCTGGGCCATAACATAGTAAGACCTTCAAGGACTATAATCACCAAGGTAGGTGGCAGGCACCAGATCAGGTACTCTGTCTTACTCATTTAATCTTCACTGAATTCCACGAGTATTTTCTTAACAAACGAAGAGTGGAGGTTCAAAAAGATTAAGTGCTAAAGCTGGTGGTGAAACAGTGTGGTATGCCCAAGATATACTACTTTTTAAATAATTTTTTTTTGTTGTTGAGAATATACACGGAACATGCACCAATTCAACAATTTCTACATGTATAATTGAGTGACATTGATTACATTCTTCAAGTTGTGCAACCAATGTTACCCGCCTTTTCTGAATTGTTCATTTCATTAACATAAACTCACTGCCCCCTCAGTTTTGGAGTTGCTGTTGCCAATTTGATCTCATGTAGATCTTACAAGAGCACAATGCTTAAATTAGGTTCTTGACTAGTTGAGCTAATCTACTGTTTGGTTTGAAGACCTCTTCAGGGGATATTTTTGGTTTAAGGTTTAAAGATTATCTCAGGGCAATCAATAGTTTTAGGGACTCATCCAACCTCTATGGCTCTAGAAAGTCTGGATTCCATGATAACCTGGAATTCTGTTCCACATTTTCCTCCTTTGCTGAAATCCAGAGAGTATCTTTCCCCTTTGCTCACAATTCTAAATAGACCACGTTAAGAGTTAGGGTTCACGGTGGAGTTTGGCACTTCAATCTTGCTGTTTTCCCTTCTCCCAGGATCTAGATTCTAGAGGTTACCCATATTCCTTGACTGGTGGCCCCCTTCACAGCCAGCAACAGGTCAAATCCTTCTCATGCTGCCATAGCTCTGGCTCTCTGCGACTGGAAAATGTTCTGATTCCAAGGACCCATGTGATTAGATTGGGGGCCCAGCTGGGTAAACCAGAATAGTCTTCCCATGTCAAAGGCCTTACTATAGCTGCAAAGTCCCTGTCGCCACTTAAGTAAATATTCACAGGATCTGGGAATTAGGACATGGATACTTTTGGGGACCAAAATTTTGCCTACCACAGAAGGATAAGAATTGAGATCCTTGATGACTTTGAAGAGGAAGCCAATCCTGGTATCAACCATACCTGGACTCCCTTTTTTCAGAAAACCATTATTACTATAAAGCTGCTGTGAACTTTTCTAATTTTGAAGCCAAAACCATTCCTAACTGCTACAGGAGCTATTTGCAAGATAAACAATAGCCAAAGGGGGAACAAAGCATAGCTTTATTAATCCCAACCCACCCACTTGCCATCCTCCAATGTAAAGGGCTGGAAAAAGCAGGATTAGAAAATGAAATATTTGGATCTGTTCCCCAACCATCTGCATAGACAAGAATGGCTGGCTTGGCTACCTGCAGCCTCAAAATGAACAGGAAACGGAGCATGTCGAGTCAGGAATGATTGCTGCTGAATTTCCCAGCCTATTCTCTGCCTGCTCAGTTTCTTCTCCTAGAGTCCACACCTCCTTCTCATCAGAAGGATCCTGCCTGCTTCTGACCCAGAGCTGGAAGGGACACAAGGCAGAACGATGAGAGTTGGAGAAGCAAGGGGTCTGGTGTGGCGTGAGGAAAGAGTGGGGTGGGATGAGGAAAGGGGTATTAAAGTCTTGTTATGATCTGTGGACCCCCTTCCAAATAGTCAAGAAACGCAGCTAAGGAATATGCATTGTTTTAAAAGTACTCTTTGACAGCTAGACTGGGTTCCTAAGTTCACAGGGTTAGCAGCTGGAGAGCTCGGCACGGCTCTTCTGCCGAAGCCAGCACTACCACCGCCCTATGTAAAGACTGGGTGTGGGCTGGTGGGTTAGGGAATGACCTTTCGGAAGACTCCAGTGCTTGGGAAATGGATCTTCCCCTTCCTTACCTCCTAAGAGAAGAAATAAGACTGTTTGGTGGCTGAAACTTGTAAGAACTGTAACAGAAGTATTCATAAAGTATATATGGGAGTTGTTGGAGGACAGCTGTGCATAGCTGCAGCCCCGCTGACTTGCCACCAGTCTGGCACAAGAGCATCAGGGAGAGAGGAAAGGACTACTACACCTTTTGAGTCCCTAGCAGCTCCTGAAAGGCAAAGAAGATGGATTCTGACAGTATGCACAGTCCCAGAGATAGGGGCAAGGGAGAAAGCCACTTAGTGGTTAAAGACTTGCTGGGGCCCACTGCAGCACAGGACAAAGTGTGACACATTTAGGAGGAATGTTGCATGATTCTGCCAGCAGGATGTTGAGCAAAGGATTTAAGGGACCACCAGTGCTGTCCGAAGAAAATTCTTCTGCTGGTAGGAACTGGGGACTCTACCTTCAGGTCTACAGTAGTGACCAGGAGAAGGGGATAGCCAGTAACGTCACCACCATTAACAGGACGCTGCTCATGTACATGTGTTTTCCCACCTTTTCCTTATTTCTTACACCGTCAGTAGAGCAGGTACGGGAGGAAAGGGCTGGGAGAGCCAGAGCACTGACCACACCAGAGCCTTACTAACCAGCACTGTGTATGAGTGTGTGTGTGTTGTGTGTGTGTGTGTGTCACTCTGAATCAAATGCCTGAAACTTTAACAAGATCAGACCATTTAATAATGCAACACGACTTAAAAGTCATAGGATTGCATAGGAGCTTGGTGAAAATCCATTTCCCAGTGGGAAATTGCATTTGACAACACAGTTGACAAAGTTATTGGAAAAAGACCCACTGCATTATTTCTACCCTGAGCTGATACTCTTTATATGAGTTACTTACGCATTAGTGAAAAAGACTCAAAATTAAGTGTATCTTCTAGGAAGGGGGAGTTTGGAAACAAACCAAAACAAAAAGCAGAAGGGGAAGCCTGGCCCCCACCTTTAAGGCAAAGTTATAGGGTCCACTACAATACATGGTCTGGTGCATTCTCACTCAGGCTCTCAGCCATCAGATGATGAACTTCTCTAGATTAGCTGGTAAGGGATGGTAGTGGTGATGGTGGAAAGAGTATTCCCACCCAACGCTTTCCCAACCATCTGATCTTGGTCTCTAGTGATTCCACGTGGAATTCTTTTCTGAATGGTCACAAGTGGTTTAATGAATTTTTTTATTTTGTCCAACAGTCTTATTTCTGAAAGTCAAGTTTTGAAAATTAACACTATCTAATCACATAAGCATAACCTGCCTCCTTCCCATATGAGCTATGTTAAAGGACCAGCTTCTGGTTTCTTGTACAGTAGACCTAAGCATCTGTGAGCTTAATTTGGGTCATGAACCCCTTTGAAAATCTGATTTAAAAAAAAAAAAATTGCTAAATTCCCAGAAAATCATATACATATAGTTTGCATTTGATTTCAGAATTTATAGCCTTCATATGAAGCTTTTGTCTCAAGCCAGCTAATTAAAAAATCAGACAGGTTTAATGGGATACTTTTATATATGAAAAACTTGGTAATTAAGATAATCTTCTATTCCATGTACTCTAGACTACAGTTTGCAAGTCACAAATGTAGAGGTGGTTAGGAACTTCATAATGAACAAAGACAAAATTCAGAGGAAGAACTATAGTGTCCAACTGAAAAGGAAAGACATTTAAATACTAGTCAATGAACCAGAATAAAAGACTTTATTATATTCCATTACATTCATAGGTCACTTCCAGGTTTAGTAACAACACTGCAATGCTATGAGGCTGTGCACTCATTAGACCACATTGTACATCTGTAGCCCTATCCTCCTCTCTTGGCCTAAAGATGTACAATACCATTTGAACAGTGCAGTTGAAAACCAGTAGCGATTTCATTTGACTGTTTTCTAGCTGGGGTACAGCCTCACCCCCACTTTCTCAGAATCTTACTTTCTTTCCAATTGCATTACAAGAGACACCAAACAGTGCAGTCAGTGTAGGGCTCTTTCACTCACAATTTTTTACCTTTACATACACTTTCTTAGTTTGAGAAGAGAACCTTCAACTAGCCAATTTCTATAGAGACCATACACATGGGATGGCCAGGGAACCATAACCATTGCTTCTTTGGCCAGATTGCACCCCTTAAGTACCTCCTTCAGAAACAGGTACTTGGTTCTCACAGGGTGTGCGTGGTTGGCCCAAATTCATCTGCCTCACAGTAAAAGCTCTTCAAAACTCCTGCATGATCTGTGGGGAGCAGGCTCATGATTTGGTGCACACGGCCTGCCTTAGCCTCAAGATATGAGCGAACACCAGGCCCACTGCTCTGTGCTTCAGGGGACTTGACCACACTGTTAAGTACTCACCCTCTTGGGTTACAGATACTCAATTGATTCTTTGGAGCTGAGGGAGGCTGACACATGTAACCTCCTTCATGCAAATTACTGTTCCCATCTCTACAAATTCAATTTGAAAAGCTCATCACCCCCTTTACTGAAATATATAAAGTGCAATCTTGTGTTTTCACTTTATCAGGCACTGAAAAGCAAGAGGGTTTTAATTTTTTCTCCTTTTTATGAAATATATCTTTTCTACTCTTGGTATTTGTAATATGCCTGCAATTAGAAGCAGCAATTAAAAAGAGAACGAACAAACAAAAATAAAAGAGGGCAGAAGGCACAGAATGAGGAATAGGTGTGAGAGGAATTTTACCACTTACTCTTAAAGGAACACTAGACCCAACTGAACCCAACCGAAACACCCGGAAGTCCATTTTGTTTACAAGTCTACTTCCTCTGCTAGACAAGGAGTCAGTCCTTGAAAGTAGAAACCCTATTTATTAATCCCTATATCCCAAGTACACAGACCTGTATCAGAATCAAACAGCTGTCACGTTACATTGGAAAATCCAAGTGATGCAAAAGGCAGTTCACCAAATGCTCCAAGCTTTCCTCCGAGACCGTCACCAATTCCACAAATGAACACTCAGACAGGACCTCAGTCACAGTTAACAGGCTGCTATGTATCTTACATAGAATAAAAATTAGCCAGAAAAATACCTTAGAAAAGATTTTAGATCTAGATTCCATGAGACTTTAAGACATTATGGGATTCTCAATCATCATGCAAGCTGCAGAGCCAACATCTGCTATTATTTTCTGATTACATCTTTCTTAAAAGGAAACAAAGGATAAAAATCTGATTTTGAAATATTGACAGGGTCTTCAAAAGTTAAGTATCAACACCTTTTCATTTCTCCTATGGGAATTTTATTATAAATATACCTTATATAGAAATTATTATTCAATATATGTTACAAAATGTTAGATTTAAAGAAAATGAATCTATTTTTAACCCAGATTCTCCATCCACAAATGTTTAATGACTAAAATAACACAACAGAATGAACAAATGTTTTATTGGCATGTTCATTGTTGTAAACAGCATCTGGCATGAAAAAAGTTTTACCAAAACCTTTTTATTGACTTTTATAAATTAGATGGCATTTCCAAAATTTACGTAGAACTGCGTTCACCGAATAGTTTTATTTACCAAAGCAGAAACTTGCTGATTCTAATAGACTTTGCAATGAAATCATGTTGACTGTAGTAGTTTGTACCATGGCCTGATCTTACTACCAAGTTTATTTAGTACGATGTTAAGATGTTTTCCCAAAGTCAAACTACATGTAACTACAAATCAACTCCAAAAATTAGTGTGGACTTACAAGAGCACTAGAAGATTCAAACTTGAAGTAAATCTTCAAAAATAAATGTACAAAAGGAAAATAAATTGAAGCCACTGAACAGAAAAACCTCATTAACAAGGGCAAATACAATCCTACAGGACCCAGCACTGAGAAACCTCACTGAGGATTACATTTACATAGACTGCTATATTTTGCAATGTACACAAATGTACATAATGAATGATATGTGAAAAGAATAACCATGGGAAAATAGTTGAACTGCAATTAGGATAACTCAATATGATCAATTTTATTTACATGCTGCATGAACGAGTGAAACGTATTCTCTACATCCATAACTTAAGTACAATCAGTTATAATTACAATACTGCAGCAAATGAGCTGCCACCTGCTAGGAGTGGTCTAAGGGAACCAATTTGATGTTTCAGAATAATGTTCTTAATACTCTGCAAAAAATGAAACAAAATAAAAAATACAACTTCACAATTCTTTACTGGGTTACGCTGGTTCTGAGAATTTCTTTCTTCAGCTCCTAATTTTGCTGCTTTCCAAAAGTCAACACACGTTGGTTGCATTTACTTACGAATTGTCAATGAGGTAATGTGTGTATCAGTGAAATAAACAGAAAATTCATTCATTCATGGCCTTTGCACAGCTTTTATTATTAAGCTATGAGCATCCTGTTTGAGGCTAGTTTAACTAGCAGCTAGGTGCACGTTTGTCCACGATAAAAGAAGTTTACTCATTCCCATTCCCCCTTTGCAAGTTGCAGGTTTTGCTTTTTTTCAATTTTTTTTTGCACATCCCTTTTCACTTTACAGTACATTTGACTATATAGTGCACAACATGATTCCAAGTCAAAACAGTGGCCCACTGGGCACTGAGCTTCTGATTGGTGAAGGGCAGTCCAATCAGTGCTGGTGTCGCTGGGTTACCCCAACCATGTCCGGCCATAATGGCACTACACAGTAGTAGTGAACCCTCTAATTAAAACCAACAATCCCCCAGGGAAAATGCTACACTAGCAGAGTCAGTCTTGAGCCAGATCTTTATTTGGTGCTCCATCCAGATATATTTTTAGTGCTTTCTCTTTACGAGGTGAGTACGTTACACGATGTCCAGTCTTCTGGAGTCGACTGCTTTCTTTTTTCATCAGTTCATTTCTTTGCTCATCTGTCAACTCCATTAATTCTTCTGTTTTATCCCTACATTTAAAATATTAATCACATATAAGACCAGGTTAGCCATCTGCCTCTATTAACTTGTGCTTCAATGTTATAATGGTCCTCAGCAAGATAATGCATTCTGATTGTCATTACTGAAAGTAAATTATCTCATACACTAGGATGCTTTAAATTTCTGATATTTCTTTAAAAAACTACAGAATAATTTCCATGCTATTACGAGTGGTAATAATAACTACCATTTACTGAACATCTATTGTGTAACAGGAACTGCACTAGTTCCTGATTCTAGCTAGCTCTGATTCTCATAAAATCCTGCAAGGCAAACGTCATTTCTCCAGTTTTCAGAGTAGGATTTCATCAATAAAAGCTACATTTGAACTCAGGTCTGTCAGGCTCCAAGGACTACTCTTCTTCCTCCACATCTGTGATGGCCAATACGGTAGTCACTAGCCACATGTGGCTATGAGCATGTGAAATGTATCTGCTCCAAATTAGTATGTGCTATAATCTTAAAAAAACAAAAAAAACCCCAAACCCACTGCCATCAAGACAATTCCAACTTACAATAACCCTAGAGGACAGAGTAGACTTCCCCATAGGGCTTGCAGGGCTGTGAATCTTTATAGAAGTAGAGTGCCACATCTTTCTCATGTGGAGCAGCTGGTGGGTTCGAACAGCCAAGCTTTCAGTTAGCAGCTGGATGCTTAACCACTGCACCACGAGGGTGCCTTAAGTGTAAACAAAACAAATCAAACCCACTGCCACTGACTCACAATGACCCCAACAAGGTTTCCAAGGAGGTAAATCTTTACAAAAGTGGATTTGACCCATCTTCCTTCCACAGAGAGGCTGGGGTTTCAACTGCCAATCTTCTAGTTAGCAGTCAAATGTCTTAGGCACTGTGCCATGAGGGCTCCTTTTAAGTGTAAAATAACATACCAAACTTCTAAGACTTTGTACAAGAATATAAAACATCTTTTTTTTTTTTTTTTTTTAAATACTGATTACACGTTGCAAATGATAGTGTTTTGGATGTACTGGATTAAATAAAACATATTATTAACATTACTTTCACCTGCTTCTTTTCACTTTTTAAAAATGTGGCTGTAAGAAAATTTCGAAGTATGTATATGGCCTGCCTTATATTTCTACTGGCCAGAGTTGTTCTATATCATGTTAAAAATAGTAAAGATATTTATGGAAAACATGTTATTTATGCACAACAAAAATTTATATCACTCAAAGCAACAAAAATATCATGAATGTTACCTATAAAATATGACTGCCCCATCATCACAGATGTAAAGAGGCCAGACATTCAGGGTAGAAACCTTAGGATTCCAGTCCAAATCCTGGTGAATATCAAGAACAGAAATATCGCAGGGAAAAGTTCCTCTGCCCTGAGGAGAAAAGAATAAGTGAATAATTCAGTCAAGCCATTAGACATGTTTATCATGTACTACCTCACAGGTTCTCAGAGTTTTACCTTGGCAAATTCAATGTCTTCCAAAGGAATCCCACTGATTTCACTAAGCTGTAAAAGAAAACATTTTACATTAATTCATTTAGAAAATAAATTTGCTTAGGAAAGTTATTTTCCTTTTTCCCCTACATAGAGATAGCTTGATTTTTTTTTCCCCTGAAAAATAATAGATATGAAAATTAGAGGATAAAAAGCAGAAAGTGGAATTCTCTATCCATCCCCACTGGCAAATAACCATGTCTCAGAAACAGCAATTTATTGTATTCCTTCCAGACTGTTTCCTATGTACACACAAACTACATACACACATTTCAACTGTGCTTCCAAATACATAAAAGTATTTATAAAATACCTCTATATAGTAATTTTATATAGACTATATATAAAAATAGAATACAGAGATAGAGAGTAACCTCATTCTCATTAACAGCTGTCCATATACCATTTTATTTCCTATTCATGGGTATTTAGTTTTCTCCCAGTTACAAACAATGTTATACTATATTCTTCCATAAAAACCCTTACATATCACTGCAAATATTTCTATAGCCTGAATTCCTAGACGTGGAAGTGAACATCTGAAATGTGGCTAACAGTGCCAAATTGAACCAAATTGAAAAAAATGTTACCAATTTAAACACTTACCAAAGATTAAGATATTGCCTGCTTCACCCAAACCTTGACAACTCTAGGTATTTTTTCAATTTTCTAAATCTTTGCCAATTTAAGAAGCGAAAAATACTATAGTTTTAATTTCTTCTATGAATTGTCTTTTCAGGTTCTTTGTCCATTTTAAAATTAGATAGTTAATCTTTTTCTTATTAATATGGTGGCTCCTTATGAATTATGGACATTATGATTCATGTATATTTCCAATATTGTTTACCCTACTTTCTTTCAACTTTGTTTATGGGTTGATTTTTTAAATACTGTTTTTGGTTTTGCAGAGATTTAACTTTTATGTGGTCTACCTTTTCATTTCTGACTTCTGGTATTATGCATATAAACATATTTCCTTCACCAGAATTATGAAAATATTTGATACTTTTGTCAAATGTCTTTATAATTTTATTTTTACATGAATTTAATCCACTCAGAATTTATTTTTGTATTTGATGTAAAGTGAAAATACATCTTTTTTTCCAAATGGATAGCCAACTGTCCTAGTTCCATTGATTGAAAAATTCACCATTTCCTCAGAGATCTTTATAATACCCACCATTAAAATGCAAAATTCATAGATCTTCATAAGGATTCACTATTCAATTCTACTTCACTTGTTTTCTTTAGACCAAATTAATAATCTACTAATCCTAACTTCTCTGGTTAAAGCTGATTCAAGTAACAGATCCAAAGCTGATCCAATTCTGAACGACTGAAGTAAAATTTCAAAGTATCAAGAGATCTAAGAAACAACTAGAATGCAGCACAAAGTGTGGCAGAGACAAATAAAGGTTGTAGCATCAGCGTTTGGCTCTCACCTCCTACACTGTCTCTTATGAAACATAAGGAAAAATGTATTTTAGCTCATTCTGTTTAAAATTAACTTACCTTCTCTCGCAATTCATCAACACTACTGCTTTCCAACACAACTTCCTGGAAGGGATCCAACCTCATCTCTGAAGGTCTCCATCGCCTTGACAAAACTGCAAGCTGTGACATGGACTTCATCTTCTCTACCCCTAAGAATATGCAAGATTAGGCCAACATCCTATTTTCTCCAAAGATGATTAATTGGAATTTTCCTTTACTGTCTGACTTAACAAAAAGATTTACTTCAAAAGTGTTATTATTAAAAAGTGGGCAAAAAGGAACTAATTAACTTAGTAAGTCAAGAAGTTGTGACAAAGAGGTATTTACTCTTACACCAGTTTCAGAAGATAGTTCCAGCAGGCTATTCTTCAACCAGTACTCCTGATTCTACTCCCTCCTGATTCCTAATGGACATTGCTCTATCAATTATTCTGTTCTCTGGATCTCCAGTCTTTGCTTCTCTGCTGGCTACTTCTTCACAATGTAAAATTATAATCAAGTCATCTTTACTTTCCCTCTCGAACTATCATTAAACTAGTCATTTAATGTAGACTATTCATAACAACCCCATGTGTACACTAATCTTTGTCTTTTCATTTATTATCAAACATACTGATTCATTCCATTAGTTACCTATTGATAACGTCAGGATCACAAGTTGATAGTTATTTTTCTCCTATTAGAATGCGCATATCTGGAGGGCAATTACTGGTCCTATTCATTTTTGTAGCCCAAGTCTGGCAAACTATAGGTCAATAAATGTTCCTTATATTTAATTGCATGACAATTTTCACTCAATTATTTTGCTGCTAAAATATATACTAAAATGAGACTGATGAAGCCATCCACCATCTAGCTACTATGCAGTAATATTTCTTGGCTAATCTCTAATACACATTCAATCTGTCCTTACAATGGTGACTTCTATGTCCTTCATGAGCTCTTCCTGGCCTGCCCAGACACGGTGATACTGTCTAAGGGCCCCAGATATTCAGAGGAGGGATCAGAGTCTGGAGCACTTGCCTATACACTGGTAGACAATGTCCTGGCTGCTGCTTGATTTTCCAATTAACTTGTCAATTAATCAGAATTTCAACTATTTAAATTTGAAATGAAATAGATCTGAAATAGCCTTGGTGAGGCGTTAGTATTGTAAAACTTTGTAAAGGTACCATACTCTTACCTAAAAACATCCAGAACTTAAAATACTTTAATATCTATAGGAAAAACAAAATAAAACAAAAAGCATCTTCCTAAGCAAAAGCAAAGGCACAAAATAATACAGAACCAGTTATTGACCTTGATGTAGTCTCCCCAAAATCACGATTACTCTACTGCCTCCTCCAAAAAACAGAACATTTAAATTATACCACTATTAAATATTAAAACTGAGAAGTGTGACAAATATAAGGCTGTTTTAGGCCACTGTTCTCAAAATCTCTGGCAAATTATTAACACCAAAGTCTCGGGGAGTGGGGGAGTAAGCCATAATAGTAATAAAAAGAAACTAATTAATAAACACGGCTAAGAAAACATTAGCAGAATTTTCTGTAAAAAGCACTAAAAATCCAACTTTGATGTTGTAATTTTCCTCTAAGGGGGATTACTGTTCTCAAAATTAGAGAAAAGTGGTAATATTTAAAAGGCGAACAGAACCTGGAGGAAAGGAGAAAACTGAGAGACACTGGATATGTCTCTTTCAAAAATAACTTAAGCCATTAGGTTAAGATACAAGGGAAGAAAATCTTAGGGAGGGGATGGGTCATACCAATCTACAACCACAATTTTTTTATGCTTAATGAAATACAATTATGTTATATATTAGGTTCCTTGTAACTCATCATTTGATTAAGAGAAAAAATTCAGGCTTCTACTAGTTCAAGAAGATTTTAAACTGGCATTTCCCCATAAATATATTGATAGTACCATCAAGGACTTCAAGGAAAACCTCCCAGTTGCTGGAAATATTAATATCTTCTTCATAAATATGATAATCCAAAAAGACAGTGCCAGGATTCTTCCATGTTTTTTTCCTTAAACGAAACCTACAAACATGATGAGATATTTTAAATTGTTATAATTTGAAATTCTAACTTAAAAAATTGGCACTGATATGATGCCAAGGAAAAATAAACTATGTTCAAATACAAAAGTCAAATGGTTATTCATTAACATTTTTGGGAAAATGTGCCAAATTCTCCCAATACTTCAAATTTAGTATCCTCCAGAAGAATTTCAAGTAGAATTTTAACGCTTTTGCTTGATGTTGTTGTTGTTATGTGCCATCGAGTCACACCAGACTCATAGCGACCCCTCCTTGGGCTTCCGAGGCGGTATCATTACAGAAGTAGACTGCCCATCTTTCCTTCCGAGGAGTGGCTGGTGGGTTTGAACTGCCAGCCTTCTGGTTAGCAGTCAAGTGCCTTTGGCACTATACTACCAGAGCTTTTGTCTTATCAAATTAATCTGTAGTACTAAAATTCTGAATAGTAAAAGGACTTTCGAATTCTTCCAGTTTTAGAAAATCATACCAGACCATATCCATTAACCACGCTTTCTCTCTTCCAATCACTGACGACAGTCTAATTTTACCTTACCTGTCAATACTGAGCTCTAAACCACATTGCTCCCTGAGTTGAGGAATTAATTCCTCTTTTGATTGCCGTACAGTCATTCCTTTAGCAAACACCGCATCTAGCAGAAACTTGCAAGGCTAAAAATATAAACATGAACAATTAGGAATTACACCTTAAAATAACAAATAACAAAGACATTTGATTTGTGCTTTATAGTGTAACAATGAAGGGCCTGAGTATAGGAGTCTGCCTTCCTAGGTTCAAATCCTGGCACCATTTCTCAGCTGTGCTATCTTGGGCAAGTTTACTTATCATCTCAGTGTCTCACTTTTCTCATCTGTAAATGGGGACTGTATCTTTACTAGGTCACTGTGAGGATTAAATAAGATAATGCATTCATATTCCCTTTCTTTAAATAAAATGATTACAATTTTGAAAATTAAAAAATTTTATGGACTAAATAGAGAGGAATGCATATTAATTACCCAAATACACTGTTTCAAAAAAGACATACTCACTGCCGTCGAGTCAGATCCGACTCACAGTGACCTTTCCTTGAGTTTTTTTCCAAGGCAGTATCACTACGGAACTAGATTGCCCAACCTTCCTTTTGAGGAGTGGCTGGAGGGTTTGAACCGCCAACCTTCTGGTTAGCAGTCATATGTCTTAGGCACTATACCACCAGAGCTTGCTGCCTCCCACCCCAAAAAGACATAGTACCCAGAAACTCAAAACTTAGGAAAAACATGTAAGTCAAAATGACTATAATGGTTACATTTAAGAGAGATGAAATGGATGCCCCCCAAAAAATTTGTTTAACAAATGAAGACCTTTTATGAAAAATGTATCCCCTTGTTTGCTGTCTGGCCATTTGCATTTGTCTAGGTCCTTAGAGTAAGAGGCTACAAACATCCTAAAAAGAGGATTTCTGCCTTATTGGTCTGGATATTTGCCACACATATATTCCTTGTCCATGATGGGAACAGAAATATTTAATTGATAACCCCCTAAAAATGAGGAAATTAAGAACTGGAACTAAGAAAAGGTCAAGTGACAGAGGCAGCACAATGCAGTAATTAAGAAAACAGATGCTGGGCCACAAAACCTGTTTAGTTCCTGAATCCACCATTTATAAGTTGTGTAACCTTGGGCAAGCTACTTAATCTCTCTGGGCCTCAGTTACTTCACCTATGGAATGGAAATGAATGCTATTTATACCATAGAGTTAATTAATAAGGATTACATGAGTTTTTAATGAATATTTATAAATTGAGTATTTGTAAGTTCATTCTGTTGTACACAGGGTTGCTATGAGTTGGAATTGACTTTGTGGCACCTAACAACTGTAATAAAGCAATGTCTAGTACATAGTCAGTTCTATTTAAATGCTTATTATAATGACTAAAATGACTCTCTGAACACAAAAAGTACCAATGTACCCTACAGGTCAACTGCTAACTACCTGTACCATTATATAATCATTCTGAGAAGGCAAGCACAAACATAGGCTTTTTTTTTTAAACCTGTGTTTTGTTTTTTTCCTAAATTGAACAATTTAACAATTTACAGAGCAAATTCATTTACATTTTGTTTCATTACCTTGACTGCAATCCCTGTAACGTAAGAAATAGCTCTCTTTCCACGTCCTCCTTTCCTATGCATTCATACCCTCTGAGCTATCTCCCTGTGCAAACACTGCCCTTCTGATCTCCCATGGTTGATTATTCTAAGAAGTGTACCTATCTGGTATAAATGTCCACCTTATACATCTATCTACTGTTTGGCTGGAAGCCACCCAAAGGGTGACTAGGGGCCAAAGTCTCGGGGGTTTCACCCATCTCTATCAGACCAGTAATCCTGGTCTTTTTTTTTTTTTTTTTTATAATTTTGAGTTTTGTTCTACATTTTCTCCAACTCTATCCAGGATCTCCTATTTTGATCCCTTTCTGAGTAGCTGGAAGTGGCAGCCAGGCACCATCTAGTTCTTCTGGTCTCGGGATCATGTAGGCTTGAGGTTCCCATGGCCCACTAGTCCCTTGGACTGCTTCCATGTGTCTTTGGTTTTCTTTTTTTTTTTTTTGTTGTGATTTGGGTGAATGTTTACAGAGCAAATTCATTCTCTATACAATCAGGCCAAAGGGTGACTAGAGGCCACAGTCTCAGGATTTTACCAGTCTCTATCAAACTCATTTTCTAAACAGTCCCTTGGACTGTTTCTGTATCTTTGGTCTTCTTCATTCTTCTTTGCCATGGATGAGGAGAGACCAGTTGTTGCATCTTAGATTGCCTTTTGCAAGCTACTCAACAAAGTTAAGATGTAGAACAATGTTTTTGTGTAGTATGTTATGCCAAGTGAGCTTGATGTCCCCTGTGACCAGGGTCCCAAGCCCGTGGGCCGAATGCCTCACCCTCTCAGGGTGTTTAGCTGTGGCTTGCTGAAAGTGAGGATGACTTAAGGCACCTACTGATGAAGGTTGAAGAATACAGTCTGCAGTATGGATTACGTCTCAATATAAAGAAAACAAAAATCCTCACAACTGGACCAATGAGCAGCATCACAATAAATGGAGAGAAGATTGAGGTTGTCAAGGAATTCACGTTGCTTGGTTCTACAATCGATGCCAACGGAAGCAGCAGTCAGGACATTAGATGACGTGCAGCATTGGGAAAGTCAACTGCGAAGGAACTGTTTCAAGTGCTGAGGAGCAAGGATATCTCCTTGAGGACTAAGGTGCGCCTAACACAAGCCATGATATTTCCAATCGCCTGGTATGCATGTGAGAGCTGGACAATGAATAAGGAAGACCGAAGAAGAGTTGATGCTTTTGAGTTGTGGTGCTGGCGAAGAATGCTGAAAGTACCGTGGACTGCTAAAAGAACTAACAGATCTGTCCTGGAGGAAGTGCAGCCAGAATGCTCCTTGGAAGCAAGAATGGCCAGACTTCGTCTCACCTATTTTGGTCATGTTGTAAGAAGGGACCATTCCCTGGAGAAGGATGTCATGCTTGGTAGGGTGGAGGGTCGATGAAAGAGGGGGAGGCCTTCAAGGAGATGGATTGATATGGTGGCTGTGATGATGGGCTCAAGTATAGCAGGGATTGTGGGGCTGGCGCGGGATCAGGCAGTGTTTCGTTCTGCTGTGCATGGGGTCGCTATGGGTCGGAAACGACTCGACAGCACTTAACAACAACAACAAGTTATCTTAATTTTGCCCCATTAGCTCTATTACATATATGGGCATCTTTATACATGCAAAGATGTATATAGAAATATCATCTGCCAAGCTTATTTATGGTCATGGGTATGTTCCCTTTTTCTGAGACATACTTTATTATTTAGCCTGTCCTAAGAGCTCTGGTGGCATAGTGCCTAAGGCATGTGACTGCTAACCAGAAGGCTGGCAGTTCAAACCCACCAGCTACTCCTCCGGAAGGAAGACTGGGCAACCTACTTCCGTAGACATACTGCTTCGGAAACCCAAGAAGGGTTGACTTGACAGTAGTGAGTGAGTGAGTGAGTTACCTATGTATCCACCCACAGAGTGAAAATTTAGTCCTGTTTAAAAGCATGGAATCTTTGCTTCACTCCAACATTTGTAGCAACATTTTAGAGCAGGGAGATGGCAAAGAATGGTCCGCAGGGAAAATTTAGTCTGTTGCTTGTTTCTGTAAATAAAACTTTATTGGGATATAGCCACCTTCATTCATTTACAGACTGTCTATGGATACTTCTCTGCTATAATGGCACAGCTGAGTTATTACAACAGAGATTGTATGGCTTGTAAAGCTAAAATAAGTCCTAGGAAAAATATGCTGCACCCTGCTTTAAAGAAATAAAAAGAAACTACTACTAATAAAGGAGCTCTGGTAGCGTAGTGCCTAAGGCACTTGACTGCTGACCAGACGGCTGGTGGTTCAAACCCATCAGCCACTCCTCGGAAGGAAGGTTGGACAATCTACTTCCATAGTGATACTGCCTCGGAAAACTAAGGAGGGGTCGCTATGAGTCGGGTCCAACTCGGTGGCACATAACAACGAGGACGACTACTAATAAAATCTCATCACTGTATCTTTTAGTAACTACAGAATGTAAACTTTACATTACTTACCTCTTGTTCATTAACTAAAAGCTGGTATACTTTAACTCTGTATTCTCCTTTTTTAAGTGCTCTCCCAAGTCTAATTGTGATCTACAAAGTAAAAATATTTTTTTAGATCTACTGTCTCAGCAGAATAAACAACTCATTCTCATTCCACTATTTTTCCCCCAAAATTCTCTAGGTCTTTGAGAACTGGTATATCTTTTATCTCTGAATCTCCAGCACCTAGAATAGTAACTGACACACAGTGAACATTTAACAAATGTTTCTGAGATGAATTAAGCAAAATAAATAACCACTAAGTATCAAAGAAAATTATCCTTTCATGGTAATTATCATTTCACCTTACTTTGAAATAGTGCAGGATGTTCTCAACTCTATCATTTAAAAGACTCTAATTATTCAAAGATTATTTTAATCAACCTTATTGTCATCTGAAAATGATGAAAGTGTCTCATTCAGTCGGACGCTCTCAAATTCTTGATTGCTGGCATAGACTCGAAAGACCTTGAAATGAGAGGACAAAACTCCAACAAAAGGCTCTAACTGTTGTTTGAAAGCAGCCAGGGTAATTCTTTTATCAACATGCACCATCAACCCTAAGCAAGAAAAATCAAAACAAAAACAAAAGAATCTACTTAACGTATAAATAACAGATCATATACTTTTCATTACACTGTGAACAGGAAAAAGTTACAGGCATACTTGGTTTTACTATACTTCAGATATTGTTGCTGTTTTTAAAACAACACAAATTGAAGGTGTGGCAGCTCTGCATTGAGCAAGTCTATTGACAGACACCATTTTTCCAACAGCATGTGCTCAATTTCATCTCTGTCAGAGTCTGGTAACTCTCACAATATTTCAAACTTTTTCATAATGCTACTGCACACTTAACAGACTATAGTATAGTAAAACATAACTTTTAAATGCACTACCAAACAAATTCGTGTGACTCACTTTATTGAAATATTTGCTTCATTTTACTGGTCTGGAACCAAATCTGCAATATCACCAAGGTATGCCTGTACCCTTCTTCTAGTTTAGCTAATATGTTACACTGAATGAACAAAAAACATGGAGAGTGAGTACATAACAGGTCTAATTCGACAGCTTTAAATCTTCTTAGATTTTCAAGTGCTAATTTTTTTCTGAATGCATAATCAATTTCCAAGAATTCTTTTCAAATAATTTCCATAAATGAGAATATTCATCGTATATACATTTCTAATCCTACACACTAATAATATAGACTCTGACGGGGTTCCAAACCTGCCTCCTCTGCTCACTTACTAGCTGTGTAACATGAAGCAAGTCATCAGCCACTCTGCTTCACTTGAAAAATGGAGAGGATGCTCCCTACCCTACAGTGTTGCAGTGTGGTCAGTGAGGTAACACATTTATCATGCTTTTATCACAGTGCCAGACACACAATTAATTGCCTTAAAATTTGCTTAATAAATCTAGTTCTGGTATTTCAACTAGAAAAAAATATTCAAGAGCAGCATATTGAGAAATCTATGTCACGTAGTTGGGTAATACAAAGTCATCTAAAGGATCAGAAATGCCCTCACTCCTCTAAGATTTAAACTTAAAATATTGTTGGCATTGTAATAGGATTATCTTTGATGAACTTTACTAATGCTTATTTATTTGTCTTTGTCCCTTATTTTATAAGCCACTTAAATGAATTTTTCTAGAATATTTCTATTTACAATTCTGATCTTTATTTTCTAGCAAAAATTCAATTGTCTCTTTCTAAGGCAGTGCTGGATACCATAGCTGCCATGCTGAATCAGTCCCATGGACCACCTACAGTCATAAAGTACTTTTGGTTCACATTTCCAAATCATCTCAACTCTCAGGGTAATGAATATTCTGAGTGGAGTTTTCAAATAACTTAATGTTCCTTAACTGTTTCTCATTATAAAATACAGGTTCACTGTAGAAAATATGGCATGTATCAATTCAAATACAAACAGGGTAATGGATTTTGTTTACTATATACCATTTGGGGCAGCATTTCTTTTAAATTTGTTTACAATGTCTATTTCCAAGCTTTTTAAAGATTGCCCCTAAATGTTAATAATCCAGCTTGGCAAACAAGCGTCTATAACTTATGCTATCTAGCAAGGTGCAATTTAAAATTATTTTCAGGTTTTTTCTTTCTTTTCTCTTAAGTATTTCTTGAATGAGGTGGTAATCAAAATTGTACAAAGAAATTTCAGTGCAAATACATTACCGTTTTTATTACTCTGGGCTTCCTGCTTATATTTAAGTATCTGGAGAATATAATTAGGATATACCAGGACAGTATTTTCAGAGAAACACTTATGATTACTCTATGAAACAATTCCTGGATTAGAGCAGGAAGTTTAAAGGCCATCAATTTTAGTTTGATTACCACTTAACTGAATTGCTTATACTGTATGCAGTATGTCACTTCACGCATCAATGGTAAACCAATTATACCTTGCCATTTCTTCATCCTAAGGAACCTGTTTCCAGGTTCATCATCCCCATGTTTTCCCAAGCAGCCATGCAGATCACTGAGGAACGGTGACGAACCACACTGAGGGCAGACTCCTAATAACTTGGTTGCTGGTTATCATCCTTGCTCTCCTAGCTCTAAGTCAGTATTCTAACAATGAAAAGGCATTTTCCACTTTTTCTTTTCAAGCAAGCTTTTTGAATGCTTCTGAAAGCCTAAATTGTGGCAGTTTCTCTTCATCGCCATATTTACTATTTCAATGCTCTGTTGGCGTAGTGCCTAAGGCATCTGACTGTTAACCAGAAGACTGGCAGTTCAAACCCACCAGCCACTCCTCAGAGGGAAGGATGGGCAATCTATTTCCGTAGTGATACTGCCTCGGAAACCCAAGGTGGGGTCGCTATGAGTTGGATCTGACTCAATGGCAGTGTGTTGAGTTTGTTTTTTTGCTAGTAAATTAGCCCAGTATGAATTTCCAAAAAGGCTAACATGGTCAGTGATTGCCTTTTTAAAGGTTTCATGAATTGTTCTAGATGACAATAAGACACTTCAGACTATATTTTAAATATCTCCACCAAATTTTCCTTAAGGTTGAGACTACAATCCAGCCAAACTTTTAGCACATATTCAAAAATAAACCACTTAATAGAATTTTCCAACCTTTTCCTGAAGAGGAGCTACGTTTAATTTCTCCAATACCTCTTGAAAGGCTGAGTATGATAAGAAAGGTGAGTTGCTACTGGCTACTTTTCCTTTATGATATGGACTCTCCCAAAGCGAGGAAAGTAAAGAGTAGAAGCTATTGGGTGGTAGAATGCATACCAAGCTTACAAGCAGAATATTTGCATTTGATCCCAGTAGTGCAACCTATTAGCTGTGTAATCTCAGCCAAATTATTTAACCATTTGAGCTACAGCTTCTTCAGTGAAAATTGTCTAACAACTTCAATTTCACACAACTGTTAACAGAAGCCCTGATGGTGCAGTAGTTAAAGCACTTGGCCAGTCATTTGAATTCACCAGCAGCTCTGCGGGAGAAAAACGTGGCAGTCTGCTTTCATAAAGATTTATACAGCCTTGGAAACCCTATGAGGCAGTTCTATTCTGTCCTATAGGGTCACTATGAGTTGGAACTGACTCGATGGCAGTGGTTTGTGTTTTGGTTTGGTTAAGAGAACTAAATGATAAAGTAAAAGGTAAAAGTTCCATATAAATTTAAAGCATTATTATAATAGGATTTGTTTTCATTTCGGCCCACCAATCTCCATTTTCACACTTGAATTTCTGTAAGATATCTGTATGGATGTCATATGGTACTAGTGTAATTCAGACCTAATACGTCAGAAAAACAAATTTATGCATTTTTATACTGATTTCATTAATTTCCACCACTTCCTTTTTAAAAGACAGAATTTTGAGACTTAAAGTTTTATAGCACTTAACTTTCCTAGTGTTTGTGTACCTTCTCCCCACTAGAACCATAAAGCTGCATCTTAGTCATCTTTATTTCTAATACCTACATAGGGTCTGACATCCAGTATGGATTCAGAAAATAATGATTGGGTGGGTGTATGGGTAAATGGATGTACAAAAGAGTGGTGGTCTTTTCCACAAGTAACAGAAGCAAGTGGTGCAATTAGTGGCCTTAAATTCTAGTTCCACTACTCACTAGCTATACATGTAGCTTTTGGGTAAGGCATTCATCTTCTATGAGCTTCAGTGTCAAAGGAGGATATTAATATTTGCTGTATTCCTTTCAGAGAAGGTTCAAGTGAGAACAAATATTTTGAAAACTAAGATATAAAATATAAGGGCTAATATTAATATCTACTTTGTTAAAGACTAATACAAAGTATTAAGTTTTTCAGCTATTTCCCAATTTTGTATACCTGAGGAGAGACTGTGTCTCTTGAACTTGGTTGTCCTGCTAATTCTTTGGCTGGTTTTAGTTTGGGGTATGATAAAAATGATTTTATTAAGTCTCATACAATATCGGTGCTTTGTTTACATTGTTGCTTGTCTAATAAGCCCCAAATAGCACAATCTCTTCCATCTTTTTGAGACTACGCAATTTCAAATTTCCAAATTATAAATGCCTGGCAATTTAGAAAGAAAAAAGTGCCTAAGGTATTTGACTGCTAACCAGAAGTCTAGAGGTTCAAACCCGCCAGCCACTCCTCGGAAGGAAGGCTGGGCAATCTACTTCCATACTGATACTGCCTCGGAAACCCAAGGAGGGGTCGCTATGAGTTGGATCCGACTTGATGGCAGTGAGTTGAGTTTCTTTCTTTGAGTTTCCCAGTTAGTTATGGACTTCCTTCAGGTTGTGGGAAAGGAGTTGCTATTTGTTTAGGGGATAGAGAGAATGCACAAATAAAAAAAAAATTCTGGGGTATGGAATATCAAATTTGCTAAAGGGCCTTGGCTTTTTATTACTGCATTATTAACTTTTAAAACTATTCCTTAATTTTTTTACTTAGTACTTTTAGCATAATTCTTTCCTAATACAGATTACTTTAGAAAATTTTCTCATCTCACCAGAGATAAGAAATCTTGTGAGAGTTCTGACACAATTACTGCCATAGAGATCTAATGTGTTACATATATCTAACAACTTTGTTCACTATAACTACATCAAAACGGGCACAAAGACAATAAAGAATAGTTATTATAATAATCCAGGAAGCTACATGAGCTTTTAGAACTAAGTGTATAACTCTTAATTCTTTCCGTAACTGAAAATTTAAATGAACTGAGAGAAAAAACAATGCTATTTCAAAGATCCTTTTTCTTATAAGTACATACATTTATGTCCTTCCCCAGAACCTTCATCTGCAGAATAGGGTTCTGCTTTGAAATACATGTACTGTGTTTCTCCCCTACTCTTGCCACTCTCATCATATTCACTATCAGTTCCAGAGTCTTCTTCTGCTGTATCCCATGTCTCTTTTTTCCCTTCATTTGCTTTAGTTCTTCTACTACTTGTGATACTCTGAGAGTCAAGTCCATTAGCCAAAGGGATCTGAGCATTATCTGCATTGCACAAAGTATCACTGCTATGACTGGAGCTAAGAATATCACTGTCAACCGAACTTGTACTCCTATCATTATTCACATCAGAGTCTGATCGTTCCTCAGATTGGAAATTTTCTGGGTCAGAAGTCTGAATATGCTGTTCAAGTTCTCTATTATCCACTGATGCTGAAGAGTCTCTCTCATTGAGAGGCGATTCAATGTTTTCAAAGTCACTTGTTTCAGTACTCTTGCTGCTGTCCCCATTATCTCCATCTTGTTGCTGCTGTAATGACAAGCTTTTGAGTTTTTCAGTGCTTTCTTCTAAAATAGCTTCCACAGATTTTAGGCTTCCTACAGCTTCTTTAACTCTTTCACAATCATCATCTCCATTACCAGAATCACCCCCAGCTTTCTGGTATGCTGTCCTTTTGGCATAAGTTCCTGGGGATTGTTCAGGTAACAAAACAAATAATCTGATTGTATTTGCATGCCGATCCAGAAGTTTCCATAAATGAGAGTCTGTAAAGGCCATCTGGTAATCCAAAGTCTCGGAACTTTCAACAAATACCTAAATAGTAAGAGTTATATTATATTACATCATTAATTTTAGTGGTATTCTCACTCATCATAAGAAAAATACTAACATCAATAGGAGATAACACTTACTAAGGTACAAAATCTAGAATGATAGAGGGTAAACTTGAAATTAGTAAAATAAAGCATTCATTGAAGATGAAATATTACATTTATATGTCTTTTAAGTCGCCATAAAACTAAGATAGAGTGGACATACATACACATCTTTCTTTACTGGGATGCCTGTTTCCACAAAGCCCTGTATTCAACATCTTGCTCTTTAGGAAATCAAAGTTTAGCATGAATATAGATAAAGGAACATGTATAAAGACACTTTAGGATGCATTACCAAAATCCAGATTGTAAAAAAATCTAACGGCCTTGTTTTTGCAACAAATACATTTTAACAAGCAAAAAAGATGTAGGGAATCTAAAGACTAAAATAGACTTGAGAGATTATAGACTTTATTTGGATCCTGTTTGAACATACAAATACTGTTTCAGGAAAATGTGAATACTAACTAGATACTGGCTAATACTAAACATCTTTTGTTAGCTTTTTGGGTATAATACTGTAATTGTGGTTATATGTTTTAAAGAGTTTTCATCTTGTAAAGATACACATTGGAATTATTTATACATGAATCTTGTATCATGCTAACAATAAGCTTTGAATAATTTGGAGGATTAAAATAAAATAAAACCCATAGCCAATTCTGACTCATAGTGACCCCACAGGACAGTGAAGAACTGCTCCATAAGGTTTCCAAAGCTGTAAATCTTTACAGAAGCACATTGCTATATCTATCTCCCATGGAGTTGAAATACCAACCTTTTGGTTAACAGTCAAGCACTTTTAACCACTGAGCCACTAGGGCTCCTAATCTGGAGGAAGTTGGTAACAAATATAGATGAAACAGTTGATAATTATAGAAGCTGGGTGATGGAGGAGGAGATATGCTGGCACAGTGGTTAAAGCATTTGGCTGCTAACCAAAAAGTTGGAGATTCAAACTCACCAGCTGCTCCAAGGAAGAAAGATGAGGCAGTCTGCTTCCATAAAGATTTACAGCCTTGAAAACCCTACGCGGCAGTTCTACTCTGTCCTATAGGACTGCTATGAGTCAGAATTGACTAGATGGCTGTGGGTTTGGGTTTGGAAGATGGATATATGAGATTTCATTACACTATTCATTCTAATTTTGTGTACATTTAAAATTTTCCATAATAGAATGAAATTTTGTTGGTTACCAGGAGTGGGAAGGAAGGTAACACTGCTAGACAAGTAGAGACAAGTATTGAGCTGGGTGAAAGGAAGGGCAACGCACCAAATGTGAGTGATTACCACGGTGGCACTGAGGAAGAGGAAGACATAAAGAGGTACATGGGAGGTACAGACAACAAAGATGAACCTTTCTGCATATACAGTGTTTCACTGTCAGTGATGGTAAACACCGATCTACAGGTGGATAGATGGGTGGACAGGCTGAACGATCAGGTATGTCTAGGCAGGGGGGAGTGTGCCTATGACCATGTATAAGGTTGGCAAACAATGTTTCTATAAGCATATTTATATGGGCTGTAAGAATGTCCAGGTATACAGTAGAGCTGACAAGGGGCAAGGCTGTGGTGACTTCTTAGTTACAGTTAGCTACCCGGAAGGAATGAGTAGTTGGACCTGTGGGCTCAGGACCATGGCTGCAGGGGACATCAAGCTCAACTGTCGTAACATACTACACAAGAACATTGTTCCACATCCTGTTTTGGTTGAGTAGCAACTGGGATCTTAAAAGCTTGCAAGTGGCCATCTAGATGCAATAATGGGTCTCTCCTCATCCAGAGCAAAGAATGAAGAAAACCAAAGATGCACAGAAACAATTAGTCCAAGGGATTGGTAGATCACATGATCCTACATATGACCATGAGACCAGAAGAACTAGATGATACCTGGCTACCACTGTCAACACTAGGAGGGTGACCCATGCAGGAGATCCTGGATAGACTAGGAGAACAATGTGGAACAAAACTCAAAACATAAAAAAAGACCAGGTTTGCTGGTCTGGTACAGCCTGCTGAGACCCTGAGACTATGGTCCCTAGCTACCCCTCAGGTCTGGAACTGAACTCATTCCTGTGGCTTCCAGGCAAGTAATAGACAGGCATATGGGCTGAACATATACATCAGGTAGAAACATCACTTGGAGCAAGCAATCACGGGAGAACCAAAGGGCAGTGTTTGCACAGGGAGACAGCTCACGGGGCAGGAGTTCATGGGAGGGAAGCTGTTGCCCTGCAATGTCATGAGACAAGCATATGTGAGCTGCTGTATGTAAAGTGAATTTGCTCTGTAAACTTTCACCCAAATCACAATAAATACTTAAATAAATAAACAAAATATTCCATAATAAAAAGTTTTAAAATATGAGCTACATATGCATAAATTTGGATATTTCAATAACATACTGGATTCTGCATAAATCATACTATTATTTAATAAATATTATAAATTGGGACCACTAGGTAACCATCTGAGGAAAAAAATAAAGTTAGATCCCTACTGCACTCTACCCTCACTAAAACAATACTATTCTGGTGTTACTTCCACACACACACTCACACATATACACATACTCACTACAAAAGCATCAAAACAAAATATAGGTGAATAAAAAAATACATGTTAGCATAGAATAATGAAACAATATTAAGGAAAGTTAAATGAAATAACAGACTGGACTACATTAAGAAGCATTTTTTGAAAAAGGTGATAAATCAAAGATGCCAAACAAGAAACTCTGGATGTGATTTATCTAGGTCAAACAATGACATTAAGAACAAGCATATATGAAAATGATTAATGATGGAATATATAATGATATGAAGAGATAAAACAAGATGACTGACATGAACTGGCTCCTCTCCAACAGAGATAAATGAGTAAGTAAAGGGAATAATGTTGGGTGAACCCAAAATTATTATTTTCTCCATACTGGGTATGTCTCTGACACTCAACAGAAAGTATTACCTTATGGGAGAAGCTTATGGACAAAATTCAGAGGATACTGTAGGTGGAAATGGTCATGCAGGTGTTATCAAATACCTAATCTGGAGCTTGAAAAAAATTGTACAGAGAGGGGGAAGAACACTCTAGGTAGGCGGTAATGCATGAACAAAGGATAAAAGGAGAAGAAGCAAGACTGATGTAAAGGACAGAAAGAAACCTGTTCTGACCCTCAGATCTGACCTGATCTGAAGAATGTGAAAACTTAAAAAGGTTATACACAGATGACACTGATTTCTGTTACTATGTAACTATCTTTCTAGTTACCTAAATCTGAACCCCTTGAGGTCATCTGGCTTTGAAGGTCAAACTTGTAAGTATGAACCAGGGCTTCGAACCAGTTCATTTGGTTTGATACCCTCCCGAGAATTTACATTTCCATCTCAGAAATACTGAAGTATAACCTAAATTTTAACAAGACACCCAAGTGATTCTTTTGTATTCTGGTGATCTCTGACAATCACCTGGGGATACTGTTGAAAGGCAGATTCTGATTCAGATTATCTGAGTAGTAAGGCAAATTTTCAGCAGGGGGTTGAACCAGAACAAACCAGTTTGACCCACTGATCTGAACTTAATTTTATTTACCATCACCAGCATAGAAAATAGTAATTAACAAAAGACATACCTTGTTACTTCTAAAAAATCCTTCAGTCTTCAGGGTTTTACTGGGCACACTGAGAAGACGTAAATCATTGTAGCAGCGTTCCAGCACTATTCTCATTGTTTCAGCAGGTAAATGGATAGCCTGTAATGAAAACAATTTAATAAAAAGTACTCTTTCAAATATAGTTCTGTTTGACTTGGAAATACGAGAAAACAAGATATTGTTGAATTCACCTTAAAAATAGCAGTGAGAAAATTAACAGAGAAATAATTTTAGTAGAGGTTTTAAAATTTTTTAAGAATATAGGAAAAAAATTAATTCCACCAATTATGCTGCAAATTAGGAGAACAAAGTATCACTTATAAGTGTAATCACTGAAACTATTTCAAATGCAAATGATTCAAAAATAAACTGATTAACTATCTGAGAGTTGATGTCAAGCCAACAGCTGTTTAACTTCTTGGCTTTTGACTGGCCCTTCAGTATTCTGTGAATAGTTAATTCTTCTACTAAATAAATTTTCTCCTTTTAAGGAGAATATTAAAAAGAAGAAAATGAGAATACGAAATTAGCAGGTAAAATTTAAAGTTATTCTAAAATTCCACATCTCTAATTTTTGGTGTCTTTTTAAAACACATGAAATGAACATTTAAAAAAACATGATTTATTACAGTGTAGAACAAAACTCAAAATCATGGGGAAAAAAAAAAAGGTGGGGTTTGCTGGTCTGATAGGGCCTGGTAGAACCCCTGAGACTATGGACCCTAGCTGCCTTTCAGGTCTGGAATGAACCTACTCCTGTAGCTGCCAGCCAAACAAAAGACAGGCATAGAAGCTGAACATTTACACTAGGTAGATACACTCCTTGGAGTGATCAATCATGGGAGAATAGAAGGGCTGTGCATGCAGAGAGAGACAGCTCAGGGGGCAGGAGTGCATGGGAGAGAGAAGGACACAGGGAAGAAGTAACTATGGGGAGGAAGTGGGAAGAGAACTGTTGTTGCATTGTGAGAAACTGCAGTCAATGTCATGAGACAACGTGTATGTGAGCTGCTGTATGGAAAATGAATTTGCTCTGTAAACTTTCACCCAAATCACAATAAAAATTAAATAAAGTCATCATAATTAAAAAATACGATTTATTTTCAATGCAATTAATATATCAATTCTTAATTAAGAATTTTTAATCTTAATCTGATTCTTAATTCTCAGCCTATTTATATTTTAAAACATATATTTATCCTTTAAAACATAAAAAAAAGATACTGAACACACGTTTGCTGGTCTGATAAAGCCTGTTGAGACCCCTGAGACTATGACCCTAGCTACCCTCAGGTCTGTAATTGAACTCACTCCTATGGCTTCCAGACAAAGAATAGACAGGCTGAACTACATACAGGCTAAACATTTACACCAGGTAGATATACTACTTGGAGCGATCAATCATGGGAGAACAGAGGGCAGTGTTTGCACAGGGAAGCAGCTGGGGGTGGGGTGGGGTGGGGACGGGAATGCATGGGAGGGAAGGACATAGGGAAGAGGTAACTACAGGGAGGAACTGGGACGAGATCTGTTCGACTGTGGGGAATTACAGTCAATGTATTGAGACAAAATGTGTATGAATGTGTATGAACTGCTATATGGAAAATGAATTTGCTCTGTAAACTTTCACCCGGGAGCTCTGGTAGTGTAGTGCCTAAGGCACTTGACTGCTAATCAGAAGGCTGATGGTTCAAACCCACCAGCCACTCCTCGGAAGGAAGATGGAGCAATCTACTTTCGTAGCAATACTGCCTTGGAAACCCAAGGAGGGGTTGCTATGAGTCAGGTCCGACTCAACAGCATATAACAACAACAACAACAAACTTTCACCCAAATCAGAATAAAAAAATAAAATTAAAATAAAACCATATTTGTGAAGGAGCTCTGGTAGCATAGTGCCTAAGGCACTTGACTGCTAGCCAGGAGGCTGGTGGTTCAAACCCACCAGCCACTCCTCGGAATGAAGGCTGGGCATTCCTACTTCCGTAGTGATAACTGCCTCGGAAACCCAAAGAGGGGTCGCTAGGAGTCGGGGCTGACTCGATGGCAAATAACAACAACAACAACAACTGCTGGTGTAGTACCTAAGGCATTTGACTGCTAACCAGAAGGCTGGCAGCTCAAACTCACCAGCCACTCCTCAGAAGAAAGGTTGGGCTATCTACTTCCGTAGTGATACCACCTCGGAAACCCAAGGAGGGGTCGCTATGAGTCAGATCTGACTCGATGACAGTGGGTTTAGTTTGGTTTTGGTTTTATTTTCTTCATCTCCAGCAAGATCAATGGTTTTGTTAGGAAAGGGCTGTCACATGTGTCTTCTGTGTTCTACCTCAGTTCTCATACTCTAAACTGAATTTTTTACATTTAACATTTGTCTTTTTAAAAATGAAACATAAAACAATCATACATATGTGATATTTACAAGCAATTTAATCATGAAGTATGACATTACATGGTTGGTTAACCAGCTATTATTTTTCTGGCAAAAATCTTACAAGGAATTTTTTAATATTATCACCACGATCACCATCATCATATATTATTATTACTACGACTACCAACACCACCACAGATTTTTATATAGTACTTCACAAATTTTCACATACAGAGGATTTACTAATTTTTATTAAAGTTCACAACAATCCTGTTAAAGAGGTATTTAAAAATTCCTTATAATGAGAGAAAAGACTATACAGTAAGGTGAATGAGACTAGAAACTGGACTCACTTCCTGACTTGCCATTAATTAGTAATTTCTACCACACCAATAATGGTTCTTTTTTTAAAATTTTATTTTTTACCTTTTTATTGTGATTTGGGTGAAAAGTTTACAGAACAAATTCACTTTCCATTCAACATTTCATACACATTTTGTTTTGTGGCACTGACTGCAAACCCCACAATGTAACACCACTCCCTTCTACTTCCTTCCTGTGTTTACCACTTCCATTTGTCCTTCTTAGCTTTATCCTTGGACAGATGATAACCTTTTGATCTCTTATGGTTGTCTGTTCTAAGGAGTGCATACTTAACTGGTGTTACTGTTCACTTTACAGGCCTTTTCATCGTGTAGCTGGAAGTTGAGCCATGCGGGTGAATTCGTTTCTAGGCCTGAAAGGTCTAAGGGCCATATTCTCAGGGGTTCCACCAGTCTCTATCAGACTAGTAGGCCTGGTCTTTTTATGATTTTGAGTTTTGTTCCACACTTTTCTTCTATCCTAGCTGGGACCTCCTATTGTGATCCCTTTCAGAGTGGTTAGCAGTGACAGCTGGGCACCCTCTGGTTCTGGTCTCAGGGTCATGGAGGCTGGGGTTCATGTGTTCCATTAGTCCTTTAGACCAATTGTTTCCTCTAATTTTAAATTTTCTTCACTCTGCTTTGCTCCAGACAGGGAAAGACTAACAGCTGCACCTTAGATGGCTGCTCACAAGCTTTTAAGACCCCAGTTGCTACTTAGTAAAGTAGGATGTAGAACACTGTCAATTAACTTGATGCCGCCCCAGACTATGGTCCTAAACCCCTAGGCCCAGTGACTCATTTCTCAAGGTGTTTGGTTATGACCAAGAGGTTTTCATAACTTTGCCCCTGTATGCTCTACATACATATCATTGATATATCTGCAGCATATGTAGAAATATCTTCTGCCAAGCCTAAATATATCTGTGGTACACCAAATATATACACATGTAAACTAGGGTTCAGAGATCCTGCAAAATTATGCCTATGTTCTTATACTCAAGTGCATTCATAGCTTCTACAAGGTTCTACAAAGCACAGATTCCCTGAAAGAGTATAATTATTTCTTTGGAGTAGACTAGTCCTTTTGTCCAATTAAATATGAAGAGTTTTCATCGTATTTTTCCAGGTCAAAAATTCGGAATGAGCCTATGTTCTTTATCACTAACTCATACCATGTGGGCAATATTTAATTTACCACCTTCCCTGTCAAATTTGCTCCTCTGCCTTACTCCTCTATTTCTGGTTACCTAAGTTTGAACCCCTGAGGTCACCTGTACTCTTGCCTTACTCCCATATTTACCAATCACAAGTCCAGAAGATTCTATTTATATAATCTCTCGCACAATCCACACCTTCTACCAGTTATATGCAATATTAATAATTCATCTGAACTATTTCAACAGCCTACTTATCTATAATCCTGACTCTTCCCTTCAATCCATTCTAGTGTTACTAGAATGACCACACTATAGCAGAACTCATATCACCACTATACTTAAAAAAAGAAAGAAAGAAATCCACTGCCTATTGCCTACACCAAACAGAACCCAAACTTTGCATTTACTGTTTAAAGCCCTCCATGAAATAAAAACTGAACTTACATTTTTAGGCCTACATGTATTTTACAATGAACCAGTCAAAATACCTAACTTGTTATGTGCCCTTGCTTCACATTTTCTTACCTCCATATCTGGCTCAATCTTTTTCTTCCATTTGAAGTATCCTTCTGTCCTAACTACTTATCTCCGAACTCTAAACATTGGCTTCTTGAAGTAGAGCCTGTATTATATTAATAACTATCACACGGTGCTTTATACATACATAGGTGACACTCAAAAATATTCACTGACTAATTTTGAAACTTACCTTTGAAATAAGTTGCTTGAATTCTGTAATTGTCTGATTTAAGTAAGCTCGAACAGTTATAGGAGCAGCTACAGATTCTGCCTTTAGATCAACAACGTGAACTTTCACCATCACTTCTGTCACATTTGAAGACATAACAACAGAATTAAAGGTTATTTTTTAAATAATGTATTTCACATGAGCAATGGATTCTTAAATGTTTCTTACAGATGACAAAGACAGCATTTTTCTAGTTACCAAGAGTATAAACATATAATACACATGTTAACAATTCTCTTTTACAATTTATAAGATATAAGCAAGCACATATAAAGATACAGAAATGAGGCTAATTAAAAAGTTCTCCTAGATATCTTTTATAAATGGTAAATAGTATTCTTCATTAATAATTATTACCTTTTAACCTATGAACCATACTTACAAAAGTCAAAATGTGATTTTAAAAAGATGTTTTTTGAATCAGTGGTACAAAATTCCCAACAAAAAAATTTCCTAGGCCAGATGGCTACACTAAGGAATTCTACCCAATTATTTAGAGAAGAATTGACACCAATACTGTTAAAACTCTTCCAAAAGATAAAGGAAGGAAGGAATACTCCCTTATTTATGAAGCGAGCATAATGTTGATAACCAAACCAGACAGAGACACTACAAGAAAACTACAGGCCAGTATCTCATGAACATAGATGTAAAAATCCTGAACAAATACTAGCAAAAAGAATCCAACAGCATATTAAAAGAGTCATTCACCATGACCAACTGGGGTTCATATCAGGTATGAAAGGATGGTTCAAAATTAGAAAATAAATCAGTGTAAAACATCACATCAGTAGAACAAAGGAAATAAACCATATGATCATGTCCATGGATGCGGAAAAAGCATTTGGTAAAATCCAACATCCCTTCTTAATGAAAAGCCTTAAGAGTATTGGAACAGAGTGGAAATTTGGAAATATGATTCAGGGTATACATAAAAAGCCAACAGCCAACACTATACTTAATAGAGAAAGACTGAGAGCTTTCCCCTTGAAATCAGGAAGTACATATGTGTACCCTATCTCACCACTTCGATTTAATATTAAAGTCCTACCCAGACCAAGAAGATAAGAAAAAGAAATAAAAGGTATCCAAACTGAAAAAGAAGTAAACTTATGTGTGGACAATATAATCCTATATACTGAAAATCCCAAAGAGACCACAAAAAAGCTAATACAGGAATTTAGTAAAGTTGCAGGGTACAAGATCAACAAACACACACCCTCTGGGTTTCTACATACCAGCAATAAGAAATCTGGAAGAGAAATTAGGGAAACAATTCCATTTACAATATCATCTAAGAGAATAAAACATCTAGGAATAAATCTAACTAGAGACACAAAGGACTTACACAATTGAAAACTATAAAACATTGCTTAAAGAGATTAAAGAAGACTTAAATAAATGGAAAGAAGTTCCATGTTCATGGATTGGAGGACTTAATTAATATGGTTAAGATATCAGTATTATCCAAAGCAATCTACAGATACAACATAATCCTGATCAAAATTCCAACAGCTTTCTTTAGACAAATAGAAAATCCAATCCTCAACTTTACATGGAATGGCAAGAGGCCTTAAATAGCTAACGCAAGGTTGAAATTAAAGAACAAAGTAGGAAGATTTACACTTTCCGATTTTAAAACATATTATACAGCTACAGTAATCAAACAGCCTCATACTGGTATAATGATAGACGAAAAGACCAATGTAATAGAATTGAGATTCTAGAAATAACCCATACATATATGGGCAAATGATTTTAACAAGGGTGTTAAGTCCATGATGGGGGAGAAGTGTCTCTTCAATAAATGGTGCTGGGGAAATTGGATTTCCACATGCAGAAATATGAAACAAGATCTATGCCTCACACCATATGCAAAAACAAATTCAAAACCGATGAAGGACATAAACATGCAAACTAAAATCATAAAATACTTAGAAGAAAAAGTATGGGCAATGCTGTCAGGCCAAGCTTTCAACAATGAATTATAACAAACACACAAATAGCAAAAGATGAAACAAATAAATGAGACTTCATAAAAATTAAAAACTTTTGTTCATCAAAAGACTTTACCAAAAAGTGAAAAGACAAGCTACTCTCTAGGGGAAAATGTTCAGAAACCTTATATCCAACAAAGATCTAATAACCAAAATAAATATAAATAGACAAATAACCCAATCATTATACGGATAAAGGACCTGCATAGATATTTCAACAAAAAAGATGTTAAAATGGCCAACAAAAACATGAAAAAATGCTCAGTGTCATTAGCTATCATAGAGATGCAAATCAAAATCACGAGGAGATACCATTTCTCCCCCACCAAATGGCTATGACAAAAAACAAAAACAAATGTTGGTGAGAATGAGGGGAAATTGGAACCCTTATCCATTGCTGGTGGAAATGAAAAATGGTACAGCCACTGGAGAAAATAATATGGTGATTCCGCAAAAAATTAAAAATATAACTATCATGTTGTCACGTGCCCTGAGTCGGCCCCGACTCATAGCGACCCCTCTTTGGGTTTCCGAGGCAGTATCACTATGTTAGTAGATTGCTCAACCTTCCTTCCGAGGAGTTGCTGGTGGCTTTGAACTGCCAGCCTTCTGGTTAGCAGTCAAGTGCCTTAGGCACTATGCTACCAGAGCTCCTATATGACCCAGCAATTCCACTCTTAGGTATATACCCAAACAACCTGAAAGCAGTGACTCAAAAAGAGACTTGTACACAAATGTTCACTGCAACACTATTCACAATAGCCAAAAGGTAGAAATATTTAAATGTCAATCAATAGATGAATTGGTAACACAATGTACTACATAAACACAATGGAATACTACTCAGCCAGCAGGATAAATAGTTTTAATACATGCTATAATATGGATGAAGCTGGAAGACATGATGCTGAGCGTAATACGAATGGGCAAGAGCTGCCTCCTTAAAGTAGAGAAGACCTAAATGACATAGATGGAATAAAGCTTTTGGGACCTTCATTTGCTGATGTGGCAAGACTCAAAATCAGAAGAAACTGCTGGAAACATCCATAAATAATCAGAATGTGGAATAAGAATCTAGAAAAACTGTACATCATAAAAAATGAAATGGAATGCATAAAGATCAATATCCTAGGCATTAGTTAGCTGACATGGACTGGTATAGGCCATTTTGAATTGGACAATCATATGGTCTACTATGGCAGAAATGACAAATTGAAGAAATAAGCTTAACACAAAAAGATAAATATTGTATTGACTTCACTTACATAAAAAGACAAGAAAAGGAAAATGCATAGAGACAAAGTTTATCAGTGGTTAACAAAGGCAAAAGGGAAGGGGAAAAGGTGGGGTAATGGTGATGGAAAAATCACATCGATTAAGGGCAGTGTTGCACAGCCTGTTGTGCAACTACTGTCAGTAAGTTGTATACCTGTAAAATGAATCGGCAACTCTTAAGTGATAATATGTTTACAACAATGACCAAAAAAAAAAAAAGAGGAGAAGGCTAAGGTTGCTTATGTACAACAAAAACCTTATGGGATTTGGTTCTCGGTTTGGATGTCACAGTTATGGGACATATAATTGAAACACCAATAGTCCTTTTATTCTACCACCTAGATTGTTGTGTAGTGCCTGGGGTGTTAAAGTTTAAGAGTGGCCATTCAAGGCACAATAATTGATCTCTATTCACCTGGAGCATTAGAAGAAGAAGGAGAATAGGAACAGAAGGAAGATATGGAATATGTGACTAACTGCCTCCATGAACAACTGCCTTTTATGCCAGGAGCCCCGAAGAATTGCAGAGCACCTCGCTACCATAAGTGAACATTCTCATCAAAGAACCTAAAGAATCCTGACCTAAAGAGGGGAAATGTGGAGCCATATTTCAAATTCTCATGGACTCTACACTTCCTGAAGCCATGAAGGTTGGACGAATTCCTGAAAACTATTGCCCTGAGAGAGTCTTTAAAACCTTAAGGCAAAAATGTCCCATGAAGTCTTCTTAAAACCAAACAATAGTTAAGGTTAAGTAGAAAAAAATTCCTGGCATAGTAGACTGGTCTAGTATGCAGGAAATGACAAACTGAAGAGGAATGGCATTGTATTGTCAAAAAGAATGTTTCAAAATCTATCCTGAAGTACAATGGATAACGTCCATACGCCTACAAAGAAGTTAATACTGCTATTCGAATTTATGCACCGACCACTAAAGCCAAAGATGAAGAAGCTGAAGATTTTTACTAACTTCTGTAGTCTAAAATTGACCAAACATGCAATCAAGATGCACTGATTATTACTGGTGACTTGAATATTAAAGGTAGAAGCAAAGAATCATCATCCGTAGTTGTAAAAAATGGCCTTGGTCACAGAAATGAAGCCAGAGATGGTATGACAGAATTTTGCAAGACCAACAACTCAGTCATTACAAATACCTTTCCCTAACAACATAAACAGCAGTTAACACATGGACCTCACCAGATGGAATACATTGGATTCAGATTGACTACATCTGCAGAAAGAGGCAATGGAAAAGCTCAGTATCTTCAGCTAAAACAAAGCCAGGAGCTGACTGGAACAGACCATCAACTGCTCATATGCAAGTTTAAGATGAAGCTAAAGACAATAAAACAGGTCCACAAGAGCCAAAATACAACCTTGATAATAATTCACCTGAGTTTAGAGACCATCTGAAGAACAGATTTGATACACTCAACACCAATGACAGAAGACCAGGCAAGCTGTGGGATGACATCAAGAACATCATATGAGGAAAAATAAAATGGTCATTAAAAAGACGCAAGGAAGAAAAGGCCAAAATGGATGTCAGAAGAGACTCTGAAACTTGCTCTTAAATGGAGACTATCTAAAGTGAATGGAAGAAATGATGAAACAAAAGAGTTGAACAGAAGTTTACACAGGGTGGCTAGAGAGGACAAAGCAAAAAATTATAATGAAATGTGCAAAGGCCTGGAGTTAGAAAGCCAAAAGGCAAGAACACACTTGGCATTTCTCAAGCTGAAAGAATTGAAGTTCGAGTTACAATATTGAAGGATTCTATGGGCCAAACACTGAATGATGTA